AGATAGGGGGAGGGGATGTAGATAGGGGAGGGGATGTCGGGATAGGGGAGAGGGTGTAGATAGGAGAGGGAATGTAGAGATAGGGGGAGGGGATGTAGATACGGGAGGGGATGTAGATAGGGGAGGGAATGTAGAGATAGGGGTAGGGGATGTAGAGATAGGGGGATGGGATGTAGATAGGGGAGGGGATGTAGATAGGGGAGGGAATGTAGAGATATGGGGATCGGATGTAGATAGGGGAGGGGGTGTAGAGATAGGGGAGGGGATGCGAGAGATAGGGGAGGGGATGTAGAGATAGGGGGATCGGATGTAGATATAGGGAGAGGGGATGTAGGGATAGAGGAGGGGATGTAGAGATAGGGGAGAGGATGTAGAGATAGGGGGATCGGATGTAGATAGGAGTAGGGGATGTAGAGATGGGGGAGGGGATGTAGAGAAAGGGGAGAGGATGTAGGGATGGGGGAGGGGATAAAGAGACCACTGGTCAATATATCACTGCTAAGGGAGTAGGGATAGGAGGAGGGGATGAACATAGAAGTAGGGGATATAGAGATGGGGGAGGGGATGTAGGGATAGAGGATGGGATGTAGAGATAGGGGAAGGGGATGTAGAGATAGGGGCAGAGGATGTAGAGATGGGGGGAGGGGATATAAAGACCACTGGAGATGTGTGAGGAAACGACTACTGTGAGGAAAAGATATAGGGGAGGAATACAGAAATATGTGAGGTAGAAGATATTGAAATAGGGAAAGGAGATACATCATGAAGAAATAACAACATAAGAATACTGAAGTATCAACTAAACAGTAATTTGGATTCACCAGTGATAAAACTAGGGCGAAATAAGGACAAAGGAAAGTTTAGCAAGGAAAGATTGAAAAAGTACAAGAGGAATATGACCAAGTGTTCCAAAAGAGTAAGGTTCTTATGCTTTATCGACAACAACCCCCATATAAATTTAGGTGATATCCAAGTAATATCATATTCTCACTTGAAAACACTTTAGTAAGGAGCCTAAGTTAAAGGGGGATGGGGTATAGAGATGGTATGGGGTTAGATAGAGGGATAAGATATAGAAATAGGGGAGTAATACGTATTTATGGTGAAACGTGTTGAAGGTATTTATGTTGAACTAGAAGGATGTTGTAGATACAAACGTCTGTGTGGGAAAGTTTTACTATAGAGTATAGGACATGTTGTTTGAACAAAGATGTGGGAAGGATGTGTGTAGAGCTTGGAAGAAGTAAGCATTGGACATTTAATTTTGTGCTTGTCAGTCTACTTTGTGGTAGAGAAGGGAGATAACTCTAAATTACATTTAACAATCCACTATCTTGGGTCTTCATGCTCAGAGTTACAAACAGCGGCATAATTTTTGCGTTCAGATCTTTGAAGAATTTAATCTTTCATTCACCTTTCTATCAATGAAACAGTTTTAGAATATCTTTGAACATGTTGACAGAAATAAACAATCAAATTGAATACAAAGCACTATCTGATTAATGTCTGCATATCAAGGCCTTCGCTGCAGTGTCATTACTGTGGAACTTCTGGTATCTCTGAAACCTCAGTTGGTTAAATGGTCTGGGGAACTTGACAAGGTAAAGCTTGTGAAGGGGAGTCCCAGGGGTAGACATTGCATCTATGTGTGTGTTTAGGAGGGGTGAGGCTGGTGATAGGCATCTGTGTAGCACTGGAGTCTGTGTGTTCAGATATCCTTGGTATCTATAATTCAGGAAGTGAAATGCTGTGTTGTGTGGAGATTGGAGTCTGTACGTGTCCAAGTCTTCTCCCTGGAACAATCACATGTCTGCATCTGATAAAGACACCTTTATCTTTTCATGTTGATACATTTGAATTTTGTTTAAATAGCTGCAGACTTATGGTTGTTTTACTTGCAGTGTTTCTGTAAATCTGGATAGATGGAAAATATTTATTATTGGAAATTAAGTTTGCATTATGAGGATAGCTCATATTTATTCTGATTCTTTTGGAACAAAATGGCGCATAAATTGCTTTCTTGACCAAAAGATTTATTGTCAAGGAATAATGTGTTTAATTGATATATTTCATGTGTTACAGGATCACCTACTGCCACCTGCCATTCCAGAGTAAGTGGCTGTACATCGGCACAGAAAGGGGCAATGTTCACATCGCCAACATCGAGTCCTTCGTCCTGTCAGGCTACGTCATCAACTGGAACAAGGCCATCGAACTGTACGTACTTTAACAGTGTATGACTGGTAACACGTGACAATGACCGTAACACCTGACGATGACTGTAATACCCAACAATGACTGTAATACCTAACGATGACCGTAACACCTGACGATGACTGTAATACCAAACAATGACTGTAACACGTGACAATGACCGTAACACCTGACGATGACTGTAATACCCAACAATGACCGTAACACGTGACAATGACCGTAACACCTGAGGATGACTGTAATACCTGACGATGACTGTAATACCTAACGATGACCGTAACACCTGACGATGACTGTAATACCCAACAATGACCGTAACACCTGACTATGACTGTAATACCTAACAATGACTGTAATACCTAACGATGACCGTAACACCTGATGATGACTGTAATACCTAACAATGACCGTAATACCTAACAATGACTGTAATACCTAACAATGACTGTAACACCTGACGATGACTGTAATACCTAACGATGACCGTAACACCTGACGATCACCGTAATCCCTGACGATCACCGTTATACCTGACAATGACCCTAACACCTGACGATCACCGTTATACCTGACGATCAACGTAATACCTGACGATCATCGTAACACCTGACGATCACCGTAACACCTGACGATGAACGTAATACCTGATGATGACCGTAACACCTGATGATCACCGTAACACCTGATGATGAACGTAATACCTGACGATCACTGTAATACCTGACGATCACCGTAACACCTGACGATCACCCTTACACCTGACGATCACCGTAACGACAGTAACACCTGACGATCACAGTAACACCTGACGATGAACATAATACCTGATGATGACCGTAATACCTGATGATGAACGTAATACCTGATGATGAACGTAATACCTGACGATCACCGTAATGACAGTAATACCCGACGATCACCGTAACACCTGACGATCACCCCGTAACACCTGACGATCACTGTAACACCTGACGATCACTGTAACACCTGACGATCACCGTAACACCTGACGATCACCGTAACACCTGACGATCACCGTAACACCTGATGATGACCGTTATACCTGATGATGACAGTAATACCTGATGATGACCGTAATGACAGTAATACCTGATGATGACTGTAACACCTGACGATCACCGTAATGACCGTAATACCTGATGATGACGGTAATACCTGATGATGACGGTAATACCTGATGATGAACGTAATACCTGACGATCATCGTAACACCTGATGATGACAGTAACACCTGAAGATGACCGTAATACCTGATGATGACCGTAACACCTGATGATGACCGTAATACCTGATGATGACCGTAATACCTGATGATGACCGTAACACCTGATGATGACCGTAATACCTGACGATCACCGTAACACTTGACGATCACCGTAACACCTGACGATCACCGTAACACCTGATGATGTCCGTAACCCCTGACGATCACCGTAACACCTGACGATCACTGTAACACCTGACGATCACCGTAACACCTGATGATGACCGTAACACCTGACGATCACCGTAACACTTGACGATCACCGTAACACCTGACGATCACCGTAATGACAGTAATACCCGACGATCACCGTAACACCTGAAGATCACCGTAACACCTGACGATCACTGTAACACCTGACAATCACCGTTATACCTGACGATCATCGTAACACCTGATGATGACAGTAACACCTGAAGATGACCGTAATACCTGATGATGACAGTAATACCTGATGATGACCGTAATACCTGATGATGACCGTAACACCTGACCATCACCGTAATGACAGTAATACCCGACCATCACCGTAACACCTGACGATCACTGTAACACCTGATGATGACCGTAATACCTGACGATGAACGTAATACCTGATGATGACCGTAATACCTGATGATGACCGTAATACCTGATGATGACCGTAATACCTGATGATGACCGTAACACCTGACGATCACCGTAATGACAGTAATACCCGACGATCACCGTAACACCTGACGATCACCGTAACACCTGACGATCACTGTAACACCTGACGATCACCGTTATACCTGACGATGAACGTAACACCTGACGATCACCGTAACACCTGACGATCACTGTTACAACTGACGATGAACGTAATACCTGATGATGACCGTAACACCTGACTATCACCGTAATGACAGTAATACCTGACCATCACCATAACACCTGACCATCACCGTAACACCTGACGATCACTGTAACACCTGACGATCACCGTTATACCTGACGATGAACGTAACACCTGACGATCACCGTAACACCTGACGATCACTGTTACAACTGACGATGAACGTAATACCTGATGATGACCGTAACACCTGACTATCACCGTAATGACAGTAATACCTGAACATCACCGTAACACCTAAGACTAGCAAACCAGAGGGCTTGGATTTGATCCCAAGTGGAGGCATTGAAAAATAATGAATTTTGTTACACTGACACCCATTGAGAGACCTTGGAAATACTATGCCTTGCTCAACAAGCATTGATGTCACCCTTGGAAAAGTGTTTATTCCAGGAATAGAAGTACAGATATCTGTCATCCTGGTGAAATACTAGCACTTGAGACTGATACACGAACATTGTAAGGAATCAAAGCTTAGGGAGGGAGGGGAATGAAAACTCACCAATAGAGTGGTTTCCTTGCAGGGGATTTATGTGCTTCTTTATTTTTTAAAAGTGTTCTTGTAGGTTTTGGGCAATGTTCTGTCTCCTTTTATTAAATGCCACTGCTAAGTTATTGAAGACATTGGTAGATTCTTACGTCTGATGGACAAATTAATTGACTGAATTTCTTTGATGATTTTGTAGAGAGAAAAAATGAGTTTGACGTTGTTTAGTCATAAAACCAGATTGCCACTGAGAAGGTAGTAAGGCAAGATGCTGTGGGAATCAACACTGGATTTGGGATAGATAGATTCTCTCTGAGATTTTGGAAAAGCTAATCTCGATCTCCAATCCTGTACGACTGATTGTCTAGACAAGTGTAATATGTAAACATGTCGGACATCTACATGGTCAACAGAAAGCTCTTCTGTATGTTATAGTGAGCAGGTTTAGGTTGTGATCACTGCAGACTGTGTATGTCTCAAATGTAGGTAAATATTCCTCTGAAAAAGGTGTACCAGGTTTATCTCATTTATAGGTAATGATTTCTCTGACAAAGGTGTATGTCCCACTTTTAGTTAATGATTCTCTGATAAAGATGCATTTCCAAATTTTAGGCAATGATTTCTCTGACAAAGGTGCATGTCCCTGTTTTAGTTAATGATTTCTCTGACAAAGATGCATGTCCCAGTTTTAGTTAATGATTTCTCTGACAAAGATGTATGTTCCAATTTTAGGCAATGATTTCTCTGACAAAGATGTATGTCCCAATTTTAGGCAATGATTTCTCTGACAAAGATGTATGTCCCTGTTTTAGGTAATGATTTCTCTGACAAAGGTGCATGTCCCTGTTTTAGTTAATGATTTCTCTGACAAAGATGCATGTCCCAGTTTTAGTTAATAATTTCTCTGACAAAGATGTATGTTCCAATTTTAGGCAATGATTTCTCTGACAAAGATGTATGTCCCAATTTTAGGTAATGATTTCTCTGACAAAGATGTATGTCCCTGTTGTAGGTAATGATTTCTCTGACAAAGATGCAAGTCCCAGTTTTAGGTAATGATTTCTCTGACAAAGATGTATGTCCCAGTTTTAGTTAATGATTTCTCTGACAAAGGTGTATGTCCTAGTTTTAGTTAATGATTTCTCTACAAGACAGATCCCTCACCAATGTTCCCAACATGGACTCTGAAGAAGAGCTAATATGTCCCTGTTTTGAGGTAAGAATTCCTCTGAAGAGTCTGTCCCAGTTGTAGGTTATAAATCTTCTGATGGTGTACATCCCATTTTGGGTGATATATTGTCAGTGAAGTTTTAATTAAATGTGCATGTCCTAGTTGTCAGTTGTGAATCCTCCAGTGATGATGTATGTACCAATTGCACTAGTGAGCTCTTTGATTTGAACTTCACCAACTTAACAGCTGAGTATTTTACACAGTTTTGCTTAATTAAAGTACTTTTAAGGAAAATGTACTAATTCATTTGGGGAAAAAAAGAAAAAAAACTTGTTTAATTTATAGATGACATTGTAATGACTACTGGAATCTACAAAACCATGTGTGAAACCTCGCTCTTACATGGATTGGAAAGCTAGCAAAATCAATAGGAAACCACTCTATTAAAAAAAAAATGGAATCTTATGGTTGTAAGAAGAGGAAGTTCTGATTTCCCTGGAGTGTGTGAAAATCCACGTCAAGGTCACATGCTAACGGTTAATTGTGGCTTGTGACATCCAAAACATGTATGGTGCACAAAATCTGAACATAGATGTATACCTCTTATCAAGCTGCATTGCACATAGACAGTCTGTGTTGGATTATACCTCTGTGACAGGCTTCATTGAACATAGCCAGCCTTTGTGGGTTTGTACCTCTGTGACAGGCTGAAGTGAACATAGCCAGCCTGTGTGGGTTTATACCTCTGTGACAGGCTACAGTGAACATTGCCGGCCTGTGTGGGTTTATACCTCTGTGACAGACTGCAGTGAACATAGCCAGATTGTCTGGGTTTGTACCTCTGTGACAGGCTACAGTGAACATAGCCAGCCTGTGTGGGTTTATACCTCTGTGACAGACTGCAGTGAACATAGCCGGCAGAGCAGAATTGATAACCATTGCCAGAACCTTTGAATTTAACATATCACGCCTAACATAAGCTGTGAGCAATCTTGACATCAACTTACCAGGTTGATGGTTTAGGAGTTACATTTATTCTTATTCTGCCATGCCATTCTGTCCAACTGCAGTATAATCCACAACAGGTTTCATTAAGTTGATCAATTGTATTGTTATGCAGCCTCTCAGGAAAAATCAATCCCCCCATGTAAGTTGTAAACTGCCTTCAGGAATTTTCAAACAG